CTACAGCCCAGCCTTTGTTACCCTCCCTCAGTATTGCCCAGCTAGTCTACTTCCTGCCTGGCTTGGTTGTTAGCAACTTGTAACACCCATCACCTCTTCCCCACCCACCCCTGCCAGTCCCAGGCCTCCACCCGAAAGTAAGGATTTGTTTCACAGCCTCTGCAGCCCTCTACCGTGTAGACAGAAAATCTCCACATCCCAGCTTGCTTTGTGACCTTGAGCAAGTCCCTGCATCTCTCTGGACCTCCCCATCTATAAAACAGCAGGATTGGTCTAGATGTTCTCTCTCAAAGAAAGTTCTGACTTATTCTCCCAGAGGCAAGCCAAGTGGCATTTATTTCTTTATTTATGTTTAATCTTTGTTTTATCTTCAAGTATAAAAGGACATTTACTCCTCCATCTTCTGATGTATGGCCAGGCACTCTTATTTGAGTAGGAGCACGCTGTTGGGAGTGTCTTCTCGTTTTTCTGGCACAAACCATTCCCATAAGGCAGGCATTTATTTTTAAGCAAACATTTATTGCATGCCAGATGGTGTTCATACATTATCTCATTTAACCCCCTCAACAGCCATGTGGCTCAGGCTTTTATATTAACAATAAGAGTTGATGTTTGCTGAGCACTTCCAGTGTGCCAAGCTCTGGACTGACTGCTCTAGAGAGGTCATCTCCTCTAATATTCACATCTACCCTCTAAAGAACAGTTACTTCCTCTACTCGCCAGGTAAGGAAACCAAGGCACAGACAGGCAAAGATCATAAAGCCAGCAAGGAGCAGAATGGGGATTTTGGACATCAGTGGGTTAATTCCTGAGCTGCTGCTCTTTACAGTTCAAGCTCTTCTGCCTCCTGCAGTTTATTAGTATCCTCACTTCCCCATTAGGGAAACTGAGGCCACAGAACAGAAATGCCTTGCTCAGGGTCACCAGCTGAGATGCAATAGAGGCTCTGAGCCTTGCCCAGCTGGTGAGTCCAAGGGGCCAAGGGTCCCCTGCAGGATGGGATGTGTGGCCTACTCACCAGAGCATGCTTTCCTTAACAAGTGCCTCCTGCCACCCCCCACCTGGGGGTCTCTGGAGCCATCCTCAGCTATATTGTGCAGGACCTGATGGAAACAGACCTGTACAAGTTGCTCAAAAGCCAGCAGCTGAGCAATGACCATATCTGCTACTTCCTCTACCAGATCCTGCGGGGCCTCAAGTATATCCACTCAGCCAATGTGCTCCACCGGGATCTAAAGCCCTCCAACCTGCTTATCAACACCACCTGCGACCTTAAGGTCAGAGGGCTGAGTGCCTTCCCTCCTCCCCTGGGGCTGCCAGGTGACCAGAAGCTTTGGAGCATGGCAGGCAAGGGAACAGCATAGATGAGGCGTAGCGGGGTGACTGCTTGGGCCGTGGCAGTCTCATACCCAAGCTTAATAGCCTGGGTTTGATTCCAGATCTGCGATTTTGGCCTGGCCAGGATTGCTGATCCTGAACATGACCACACTGGCTTTCTGACGGAGTATGTGGCTACACGCTGGTACCGGGCTCCAGAGATCATGCTTAACTCCAAGGTAGGAGAGCTCCTGACCTGTGAAGGGAAGCCCTGGAGCCATCTCTGACCCAGGCACTGGCCCCTGGCCCCTGTGACACAGGACACCTACCCTCTGGGCCTTGGCCTCCAGAAAGAGCAGAGTGGTTCCTCCAGGTCTCTGCACTCTGCCCTCTGCCTGGTATTTGGCCCAGACAACAGGGCCTTGCTGAGGGCAGCCCAGGAGCCCACTACTTTCCCTCCCCAGGGCTACACCAAGTCCATCGACATCTGGTCTGTGGGCTGCATTCTGGCTGAGATGCTCTCCAATCGGCCCATCTTCCCCGGCAAGCACTACCTGGACCAGCTCAACCACATTCTGGGTGAGGGAGCCCTGGCTAGCTGAGGGGGATTAACTTATCAGAAGTGAGATTTCTGGAGGGGTCGGGGTCAGTGTCACAATGTGTGGAGTCCCTCCAGCATCTAACATTGTTTCAGCAAGGTATCCCCATTTGACAGATGGGAAAAGCAAGGCTAAACCCAACACCCAAGAAAGTGTGGGAGCCAGGATTTGAACCTAGGGCTGCATGAGTCCCAACCCCTTGCGCTTCTCCACCATACTGTTGGCTGGGAGGTGACTCTGAGGAGTTGGGGCAGGGGGGTGGGCTGGGGCTCTTATCCTGCTTCCTTGGCCTGTTCATTCCCAGGAGAAGGAGGTTTCTCATCAAGACCCCCATCTTACCCACAGGTATCCTGGGCTCCCCTTCTCAAGAGGACCTGAATTGTATTATCAACATGAAAGCCCGAAACTACCTACAGTCTCTGCCCTCCAAGACCAAGGTGGCCTGGGCCAAGCTTTTTCCCAAGTCAGACTCAAAAGGTGAGAGAGACTCAGGTGTTGGAGTGGGCTAAAGCCTGGATGTGGAGAAGAGTGGGTGATCCCTACAGCTGTCTGAGTTGACAGGCTTCTGGGAACTGGGCAAAGTGATGCTTCTGGGAGCTCCTCCAGCCTTTCTTTTGACCCCTGCCTCCTGTGCTTCCTTAGCTCTTGACCTGCTGGACCGGATGTTAACCTTCAACCCCAACAAACGTATCACAGTGGAAGAAGCACTGGCTCACCCCTACCTGGAACAGTACTATGATCCCACGGATGAGGTGCGCCAGCCACCAGCAGCAGGGCAGGCAGGCAGGCAGGCGAGGGAATAGCTATCCCCTAGTGCCCGTGCTAAGCTTTACTGTCTTTGCTACCCCAGCCAGTAGCCGAGGAGCCCTTCACTTTTGACATGGAGCTGGATGATCTACCCAAGGAGAGGCTGAAAGAGCTCATCTTCCAGGAGACAGCCCGCTTCCAGCCAGGGGCCCCAGAGGCCCCATAACCTGGACAGATGTCCTTACCCCCTGGGGCCTGGTGAGTGGCCTCACTGCCCATACACAGCCTCACCTTAACACAAGGGTGCCCAGCATGCCTCAGAAAAGTCACAAATGTGCTTTACACTATGATCTATATGTATGGTGGTAACAGAAGGCCTATGAGGCCCGCCTGGGCCCTGACTCGTGGCCCACCAGTCCTTCATGACCCAGCCCTGTTCTCCAACCCTATATGTTTCCCACTTGTTAACACCCAACCCAGAAACCACTTCAGACCCCCATAAGTCACTTGGCTCTGAGGAGCCAAGGCAGCCTTTGACTCTCCCTGTGTGGGCAAAGAAGCAAGTGATGCCATGATTGCTTTGGGAGGAGCCCCACAGCACCTGGCTAGCCCAGATGCCAGGCTTCCTCACACCTGTTTCTCAGGTCAGCAGTTCACACACCTGAGGGGAACCTGCTGGGACTACTCCCACCCACACTGCACTCCTTCCCTCCTCCAGCCTCTTCCTTGGCCAGCTATGGCTGATGGAAGGAAGGCAGACACACCGGGGCCCAGGCCTCATCTCTTGCACTGAACAAAAACTGTGAGATGTCGTGCAAGACACCTTACCTCTCTATGCCTCAGTTCTCGGAGGCCATCTGATTATGAGAGCCAGCCCCACAGAACCCTAACCACTGTACTGAGAGGTTAATGAGCACCCACTTATGCACTTAGCCCTAGCACCCTGTGATGGGTGCTGGTGGTATTCCCACCTACAGACAGGGAAGCAGACACATTGCACCAGATGTGAGGGTGAAATGGGAGGTGCCTGGGTCAGGGTGCACTGGGTTCTCTCCCAGCACTAACAGCTCTTTCCTGCCTGCTTCCTCCTCCAGGCCCTGCCTCCTGCCTGCCCCTTCCCCGCTGGACTGTTAGAAAATGGACACTGTGCTCAGCCCAGACCCCTGCAACCCAGGCCAAGGGTGGGCCTGGCTACCTTCTCTCACTCTGCTGGGGTCTCCTGCTTCAGGCAGGCCGAGGTTCCCTCTCACCTCTATCCCTGTTCCCTTTCCCCACCCCACCCCACCCCATCCCACCCAGCCGTGGGCCTAAGGGGCTCAGTGGCCCTAGAGCAAATCTCTCTGCTGCTCTGCCTCCATCTTGCCCAGTCTCTGGAAGTTCTGGAATAGAAAGGCCCTGGCTGCCCCAGGATCTACCCAGGGGCAGGGGCACTAAGTAGGGCAAGCCCTGTCCCAGTCACCTCATTAAAACTCCACCCGTTTTCCCTGAAGGAACATTCCTAAGTCTCAAGGGCTAGTATCCCTGAGGAGCCAAGCCCAGGCCTAAACCCCCTCCCCCCTCAAAGCTGCCACATTTAACGCCCTTGCTGCTTCTGTGTGTGGGTGAGTGGAACTGGAGGCGGGGGCACGTGGAGAGTCCCGTGCCCCTGCCCACCTCCCCGTGCCTGTATCTAATATATAAATATAGAGATGTGTTTATGGATCACCCTGGTCTGTCTGTGTGCGCCGCCGCCCTCTCCTAACCAACACTGCCTGAAGACTGAGAGCTGCAACCCAGCTGCTTCCCAGCTGTGCCTTTACATGGCCCTGGTGACCTTTGGTACCAGTGGCCAGGGTTGAGGATGGGTTGGGTATAAGGAGCTCCAGACTCCTAGAAAGAGTGGGGTCAATTTTCCCCTTAGTCACTGTCCTCTCCCTCTCTAATGGCTTCCTGTCTAACTGGCTGGGGGGTGATTCGGGGGTGACTCAGTGACCCTACACACCCCCAGATTCTCTGGAAATGGCAAGGGCCAGTGTGTTGTGTACCCTGGCCACAAGTACCCATGAAAGGGGGGACACTCGTAACAGACCCTGAGGTGTGGGGACATGTTATTCCCCTCCCGGCTAAGGACAGAGGGGTGCCTGGGGCTATAAGGCCTGGGCTGCCTGGACTCTTACCTCTACCCCAGCCCCAGGGAGTCCTGCAGCCTGGCTGCCTGCCAGCTACACAGCAGCAGGCTCAGCAAGTCCCAGGGGCGTGGTGTCGGCCAGTAGCAGAGCCGGCCTACACCAGCCAGGCAGGCAGCAAGGCTGCAGTCCATTGGGACAGAGCATCGGGAAGGCAGACAGGAGTGTGGCCATGAGCCCTCTGCTGTACTATGCCCTGCCTGCCCTGGGCGGCTATATCACACTGTCCATCTTCTTCCTGCGCCGGCCCCGCCTGCTGCACACACCCCATGCCCCAGTCTTCTGTCCCCGCCTGGTGGCCCACCGAGGAGGTGAGCTGGGAGAAGAGCTGGCAGCTACTGGGGGTGGAGTGAAGCTAGCAAGACAGGTGCCACCACAGTGGGCAGCACAGAGGGGCAGGATGCTGGAGGCAGGGCCAAGACTCTGGTAGGAAGAGAGCTGGGGCAGGGCCGAGCAGGGAATGGGGAAGGAGAGGCCAGCAAACCTGGGCTGGCGGTAGACGAGACTGAGGCCGAAAGGAGGCCAGCAACTGGGAAGGTGGCTGATAAGGTCGGGCCAGGACCAGGGACCCATCCCAGCCACCCCCCGCAGGCTCCGGAGAGCTGCTGGAGAACACCATGGAGGCCATGAGGAAGTAAGTCCACCTCCCGGCCACGTGGCCACGTAAGGTTGTCACAGTTGTGTACTGTGGGACACTCAAGAGTGCCATTCGTGTCCTAATCTGGGTGTCTGGAGCCCCCTAGAGGTGTGCAGGTGTGCACAGGAGCAGATAGATCCCTCTCCTCACTTCTGTCCTGGCCTCCCCAGAGCCCTGAGATTCCTGCCATGAATTCTGCCCACATGTGCCCACATCTAGTGTGGCCTGTCCCTGTCCCTGCACCCCTCTGATCTTTGCTCCCATAGCGCCATGACCCAGCGAGCAGATCTCCTGGAACTCGATTGCCATCTGACAAGGGATGGTGTGGTGGTAGTGTCACACGACAAGAACCTGTCCCGCCAGTCAGGCCTAAATAAGGATGTGAGCAGCCTGGACTTTGAGGTAGGCCACGCCCCCACACCCAGAGTTGCCATTTCTCCAGTGTGCGCCCCTGACCACATGTTGCCTGTTCTCCCAGGAGCTGCCCCTCTACAAGGAGGAGCTGGAGGTTTACTTCTCACCAGGTAAGARCAGGTGCTAGGCGAGCTGGGGCCACCTTCTTGGGTCCTCCTTGGACTCCTGCCCCCATCCCACCAATGCTTTTCTGATCCTGCTTCCCATGTCCTCATTTCTAGGCCACTTTGCCCATGGGTCAGACCGGCACATGGTGAGTCTGGAGGACATGTTCCAGAGGTTTCCACAGGTGCCCATGAGTGTAGAGATCAAGGAGAAGGATGAGGAGCTCATTTACAAGGTAAAAATGTAGTCGGGGTAGGGGCAYAGCCCAGGCCCGAGAGAGAAACCTGGCTCTGTCATCCTCCCTCTCCTCCTCCTAGATAGCAGACCTGGTGAGGCGCTTTGACCGCAATGAGATCACCATCTGGGCCTCGGAGAAGAGCTCGATCATGAAGAAGTGCAAGGCTGCCGTGGGTCCCTCTTCTTCCCTGATCCATGGCTCCTCCTCCCAGAAGCTGGAATCTAACCTACCCAGGAGGCTCTAAGCTGGAGGGGTCTGGGAAGCTCCTTAAAAACTTAAAAAGGGGACTCCTTAACAGGATTTGGAGAGGTGGGGCAGTGGGATTGAGAACCCTGGACTAGTAGTAGCAATGAAGAGGACACCTTCAGGCCTCCAGCATTGGCCAAGAGGTGATTAGGGCCTCCTGAATGTCCAGCATAGTTCCCCTGCAGCCCATGCCTCCCCTCTGCTCCCCCAGAAGCAGATAGATCCCCCTTCTCACTTCTGTCCTGGCCTCCCCAGAACCCTGAGATGCCACTGTCCTTCACGATAAGCCGAGGATTCTGGGTGCTGCTACTCTATTATCTGGGGCTGCTGCCCTTCATCCGGATCCCTGAGAAGTTCCTCTTCTGCTTCCTGCCAACCATCATCAACAGGTACCAGTGGTGGACCTGGGCCCCAGAAAAACAGGCCCCATTCAAGCCACATTTGCAACCCTGAACCCAGCTCAGAGTCTGCTATGGAGGAAGAGCCCCAAGCTCCTTTGATGGTTCCTTGGATACCATTCATTCATCCAAATTCATCCAAAATATTTCTGGACAGCCTTTTCTGGTCCTGTAGCAGTTAAGCTAGTAAATAAGAATCATGGGTAGGTCAGGCCTTCAGTGAACTTATAGTCTGGCTTATTCAACATCTTGGTATTCAGATTCTCAGAAGGAAAAAGTAAGGAGCTTCCTCAGGCTGGAGTCAGGATTAACAAAGGAGCAATTGGGCATAGTATCCGGAATAGGGTACTTCCCTGGCTCCCAGGCCTGGCCCCTCCCTTTGCTTTTTTTTTTTTTTTTTTGTACCAGGGATTGAACCCAGGGGTGTTTAACCACATCCCCAACCCTTTTTGTGTTTTGAGACAGGGTCTTGCTGAGTTGCTTAAGGCTCAGTAAATTGCTGAGGCTGGCTTTGAACTCACAGTCCTCCTGCCTCAGCCTCCCCAGCCAGTGGGAATACAGGCCTGCACCACCACACCTGGTTTTTCCTTTGCTTTCTAACCACTATGGTGGTTCCCCAGTGCTCTCTGCTACCCTCCATTACGCTCAGCCAACCCCACAATCCCTTGCTACAAAGCTTTGTAAATGTAACTTTTTATACAGGATTTGCAAAATGTTTCCACATCTTTTGGTGTATTTGATGCTTACTTTGCAATGCCTCTAGGAGGTATAGGAGTCATGGCCCCCATAGTATCCATAGAGAATCAGAGGCTCAGAGAGTTTGTCCAGGGTCACACAGCTGTTAAGTACAGATCCCAGGTGCGTCCTAGGTCTTACTCCATAGCTTGCCTTGGAATGCTGTAAAACCCTCTAACTCTAAAGTCACCTCTGGAGTGGGATAATTAGCGACAAGTAGTCAACCCATTAAGCACTATCTGGCCTCAAGAAGCTCACCAGATACCACCAGGAGGACCTCCAAGTGGGTTGTCCAGCTTTGGAATCCAGCTGTACCCCAGCCCTGGCGTCAGCCCCACCACTGATTTGCTTCGTGATCTCCAGCAAATCCCTTTAGTTTGCTAAGGCTCAATTTCCTTGTCTATAAGACAGTAGAACTAGGCGTCATGGCACATGTCTGTGATCCCAGCAACTCAGGAGGCTAAGGCAAGAAGATTGCCAAGTTCAAGACCAACCTTAGCAAATTAGTGAAGCCCTAAGCAACTTAGCAAGACCCTGTCTCAAAATAAAAAATAAAGCTGGGCACAGTGGTACATGCCTGTAATTCCAGAGGCTTGGGAGGCTGAGGCAAGGAGACCATTAGTTCAAAGCCTCAGTGACTTAGTGAGGCCCTAAGCAACTTAGCATGACTCTGTCTCTTAAAAAATAAAAGAATTTTTTTAAAAAAAAAGGATTGGGGATATGGCTCAGTGGTTAGGTGCCCCTGGGTTCAATCCCCATATCAAAAAAAAAAAAAAAAAAGTGAGATGGGGGGCTTACCCTTGAAGCATGGATTTGGGGATCTGGGAGTAGCATCTTGCTGAACAATGGGTGATTATTCCTTTGGGCAACTGCAAAAGTTCTTCTGCAGGGACAGGGCTGTACCCCCATGACAGAGGGAGATCCAATGGGCTGACCCCATCCACCTTCTCTTCACAGGACCTACTTCCCATTTTCCTGCTCTGGGCTGAACCAGTTGGCAGCTGTGGTTTTAAAATGGTGAGATGGGCAAGAAGACTGGGTGGAATGTCCCAGTAGCAACCTGCTACCACCCTCTCCTTTGTCCTGTCTCATCATCACCTTTGCCATGCCCCCATCCCCAGGATCATCATGAGAAAGAGTCTGATCCAACACTTGCGAGAGCGAGGGGTGCAGGTGAGAATATGAGCACCACTTTGGCACAGGCCTGGCATCAGGGTCCCAATCTCTGCTGCTGATGGTGGCATCACTTGGGCAAGCCATATTATCTTCAGAGTCTGTTTCTTTATCCACAAAATGGGGAGAATGGTATACATAACCCTCCTGGGTATGTAACTGGTACTAGGAGACGCACTGTGAAGATGATGCATGGGAAGATGACCATACTGTCCTGATCCCTGAGGATCAGCTTTAACCAGGTCACTTAATTAGCAAACCTTGTTGAGCATGTTCCAGACTGGGGATGAGAGCTTCCCATCAAGCGCAGGGGAAGGAAACAAGCAGGCCAGACCTGCTTTACATCACCTGTTGAAAAACGGAAGCAGAGGGCTGTGGGCTGTGAGATCTTGAAGAAGAGAGGTGTGAGCAGCCTAGGAAGTATGGGAGGAAGCTGGCTCTCAGGGAGCAGGAAGGCCTGCAGGTGTGAAGGGTGGAGAGGCAGAAGACCAGGCTGGCAGAGACACTGGGAAAGCTCCCAGGCCACAGCCTGGAGGAGGTGACCAAGAGTGGCCCAGGCTCAAGCAGGCCTGCTAAGCCCAGAAAGGAGTGTGGACTCCAGTCATAGGGAAGGGAAGCTTTGGGGGTCTTCTAAGTAGAGAGGGCTGATCCAGTTTTGGTTTTCTGAGTTTTGCCTCCATATGAAGAAGATGTTGTGGCGGGGTGGAGTGGAAGCAAAGTATCATAGGAATCTGATGCTACTCTGGACAGGTCTCAGGCTTAGGTGGCAGTAATGGAGACAGGTGGAAGAGGACGTGGCTAGTGACTGGATGTGGGGTGAGTGAGGCCCTGGGATAACAAGGCTCTTTCTGATCAGCCCTCTTATGTCTCTCATCTTCACTATCACTTTGTGAGTTTGGACCATCACCCTCGTTTGTCAAATTAAGAAATCAACAGCCAGGTGCAGTGGTGCACGCCTGTAATCCCAGCAGCTAAAGAGGCTGAGGCAGGAAGATCACGAGTTCAAAGCCAGCCTCAGCAACAGCAAGGTGCTAAGCAACTCAGTGAGACCCTGTCTCTAAATAAAATACAAAAAATAGGACCGGGGATGTGGCTCAGTGATCAAGTCCCCCTGAGTTCAATCCCTAGTACAAAAAAAAAAAAAAAAAAAATCAACAGCTGGGCATGGTGGCACGCACCTGTAATCTGAGTTACTTGGGAGTTTGAGGCAGAAGGATTGACAGTTGGTCAACCTGGACAATTTAGGAGACCCTGCTCAAAATAAAAAATTTAAAGAGCCAGTGATGTAGGTCAGTGGCAGAATGCCTCTGGGTTCAAACCCCAGTACCTAAAGAGAAGGAGGAGGAAGAAGAGGAGGAGGAGGAAGGAAAGGGAAGAGGAGGGAGAAAAGGAAGGAGGAGGACTAGAAAAGAAAAGGAGGAGGAAAAGGAAGCAGGAGGACTAGAAAAGAAAAGGAGGGGGAGCAAGGAGGAGGGAGAGGAGAGGAGGAGGGGGAGGAGGAAAAGGAAGAAGAAATCAAGATATTCAGTGACAAAAAAAAAAAAAAAAAAAAGATATTCAGTGACTTCCTTGGAATAAAAATGCTGTCTGCACCTGCCTTTAGACCCACAGAAAGGCGGGGAAGGTTCAACATCAAGGGAGGGGGCAGGCTGGAGGCCCTGGTGAGCTGCCAAGTGTTCAACAACTGGCTCCCTAAGAGGAAAGATTAAAAACCTGATTTGAATATTACTTTCTCTGATTTAAGTAATCTCACAATGGCCAATGTCAGGCTACCAATGCAAAGTCATTAAATGTAAAATTAAGAAGAGATGTGCAATAGCACACCATTGTACAGTAGTCCCATCTTATAGATTCAGCAGATACCGATGACCTCAAGAACACAGGAAACAGAGCTGGCTGTGTGGTCCACAGCTGTAATCCCAGTGACTTGGAAGGATTAGGCAGGAAGATCACAAATTCAAGGCCAGCCTTAGCTACTTAGCGAGATCTTTTCTCAAAAATAAAAAATAAGGCTGGGGATATAGCTTAGTTGGTAGAGTGCTTGCCTCACATGCACAAGGCCCTGGGTTCAATCCCTAGCACCACAAAAATAAATAAATAAATAAAAATTTTTAAAAATAAAAAATAAAGCACTGAGGATATAGTCAGTGATAAAGCACCCCTGGTTTCTAACCCTAGGATCCCCCCAAAAAAATAAAAGAACATAGGAAATAGTAAAATAATAAGTAGTAAGTATTGATAATTGATTGCCTTTGTTTTAAATATTTTTTTTAATTGTGAACTTATACAGTTTAGCTTTTAATAATGGCTATACTTAAGAACAAGTTTGCAAAATTCTTGAAAGTTAATCAGCTTCAGCACCACTGCTAGGCCGTCTGCAGAGGAGAAGGAAAGCTCCTCCCATAGACTCCAAGATATCAGTAGGGGGTAAGGGGAAGTGTGAGGCATAAGAGGAAGTTCTGTGTAAAGTTATTTGGAAACTAATAAACCCCTCCCTCCACATTCAGGTAGTGTTTTGGTGCCTTAATGAAGAGTCGGATTTTGAAGTGGCCTTCAGTCTGGGGGCTACTGGTGTCATAACAGATTATCCCACAGCCCTGAGGCGCTACCTGGACAACCATGGACCCRTGGCCCCAGCCTCCTAAGTCTGAGTTCCTCTCCTCTGTTTCTCTTCCTGAAAAATAAATATTTTCTTTTCACTCACATAGTGGTACATGGAGTGAGGGGTGGAGGATGGCTTCTGGAACACTGTCAAGACTGCAGAGAGGGACAGAGCCTGGGGCCGCAGCCTGGGGCCCTAACCAGCCCAGCCACTGGTTCCACTACATTCCAGATCCAGAGTAATGCCACACCCAGTGCCAGCTTGGCCTCCACTCTCAAGAATGTCCCTTACAGGGTCAACTCGGGTGCCCTGGCCCCTGGCCATGGCTAATGGTTCCATTCTCCTTTAAGAGCCCCAAGCACACAGCAAGGCACTTGACTTCCCCCAAGTTTTGCCCCTGTGGGCCTCAACAGGCTGCAGAGGGTGAACATGGGTGAGTTCATAGGTCTGTCTGTACCGCCATCTTACCAAGTTCCCATGCCCAGGTCTCCTCCAGTCCTGAAACCTTATTCATTCAATGAAGGGAGACTCCCACTGCACAAATACTGAGTGTGAACAAGTCAAAGCAAGGCAGACACATGACTTAAACAGACATTTTCACTAGAGGCGCCCTAACCCAGCCTGAGGGGTAGGGAGCACCCCAGGAGGCTGCCTGGATGGAGGAGGTGAAGTTCATCAGTAGGACATGGCTTCTTCCAGGGCCTGTGCTCCCAGGAGCCCAACAGCAAAGGATAACTTTAGCTCTTCCCTTCTAAGAGATAGTTCATCTCTTAGAAGTCTGTTCCTGGTGGTATGGCAAAGGCCAAGGAGTTGGCCAAAGTGAGTTGTTTTGCCTCTTACCAGCTGATCAGCTCGAGAGAGATGCTAGACCTCTCTGGGCCACAGTCTCTGGTAAAAGGGAGACAATAGGAGAGACTGCCTTAAAGGATTGCTGCAGAGATTACGGGTGAGGCGCCGGCCGTGGAGAAACGCAGATATGACTATTATTTCCCGGGACCGGACGTGCTGGGACCCTTCTCCTAACCCTGCGCAGGGTCAGGACCCTCAGATCCTTGCCTCTTCAAACACCGCGGGATGCCAAGGAGGTGACCAGGCCGTGGCCGCCGAGGGCCGCAGCCGCATTTCCGGGCCGGCAGCAGCCGGGAGCAGGGGGAAGGGCAGCGCAGGCCTGCGCTGGCCGCCGTGTGACGCGCCCCCTCATTTGCATACGGCACGCCGATTGGCCACGGAGGCCGCCGGGACTGGAGGCCGGCCCCCTCCCCCTCCCGCCGCAGCCGCGGCAGCAGCTGGTCTCGGTGTAAACAAGTCGAGGCGGCTGCGAACCCGGGCCGGGGGGGACGGCGCCCACCAGGAGCGCCCCCCACTCCCAGGCCAGGCCACCCCGCGGACCGGGGCCCCGCGCGCCCAGGCGAGGTGAGGCCCGCACCGTCAGGGCTGCGCGTCACCCCGCGCCCCCGCCCCGCCAGCGAGGACTGCCCCTTTCCCCCGGCGCCCGCCCCCCACCCCCCGCGCCCCAGGTGAGCCCCGGGGTCTCAGGTAAGGCTCCGCGATACAGGTAAGATTCCCTCGGTGGAGATGAGGTCTCAGCGCCCCCAGGTGAGAGCCCCTCCGCTATTAGGTAACCCTCCACCTTCAGCAGGGCCTCCTGCCTCCTCCAGGTGAGGGACCTTCTCTCCAGGTGAACTCCCTGGACCCCAGAGTAGCCCCACCCGCAGTCCAAATGAAGTCTTAAGGATCTGCCAGTTCCTAACTCCCTGTGCTCCCCCCTGATCTGGGACTGACAGTCCATCCACTCTAAAGCCCCTTCCTCCAGCTTCAACTGCCAGGTCAACAGGGGTGAAGCTGGAAGCAGGTGGGTGACTCACCTTGAGCTCCTCCTAGCCTCAGTTTCCCTGCTGATGCAACCTGAGGCCTCCTCACTGAGTCAAAACTGAAACGACTCTGGTCCCTGGCGAGGCTGCTGGCTCTGGGGAAAGGAGAGAGCAGCCAAGTGTGACAGAGAGTCCCCATGGCTCTGGGTGTGCCTGCATGTGTGTGGCCTGGGTCCTGACAGTCCACCTACTCCCTCCCTGGCAGGCACTGGGCTCCCTCTGCTCCCCGTGGGCTGCTCCCCGCGTGGGGCCACTGCCCCTGGCCCCCGCCATGGTGCGGATTTCAAAGCCCAAGACGTTTCAGGCCTACTTGGATGATTGTCACCGGAGGTATAGCTGTGCCCACTGCCGCGCTCACCTGGCCAACCACGACGACCTCATCTCCAAGGTAACCAGGATACAGTTGAGGCTGGAATGGGAGGCTAGATGGGCTGTCTGGCAGCTCCCCACCAGTAACCCTGACCCCCTCCTCTCCCCTTCCCACCCTTTAGTCCTTCCAGGGCAGTCAGGGGCGTGCCTACCTCTTCAATTCTGTGTGAGTATCTGGCCCCCTCCTTTCTTTTTCCTGACCTCTGTTGTGACCTATGACCCCTGGTATCATGCTGAGACTCCCAGAGTCCCCTGGGTCAGGCAGGATACCTTGATCACCCCTCTCTTGGAATATAAGGCCAGATGCAGTGGATACAAGCTGGAGGAGGGCTCTGCGATGGTGGGACACTTCCTGAAACTGCCCCATGTCCCTGCAGGGTGAATGTGGGCTGCGGGCCAGCCGAGGAGCGGGTGCTGCTGACAGGCCTCCATGCTGTCGCTGACATCCACTGCGAGAACTGCAAGACCACTTTGGGCTGGAAATATGTGAGTCAGTTATTTTTGACCCCATGGTAACCTTTGACCTGACCTCACATCACCTGTTTCTCACAAGTGATCAACTAGCAACTTTTCAGAGTGCATAGGCCCTCAGAGAGAAGCCAAACTGTCTTTTCAGCCCCTGACCATGTTTTCTTCTTTTGCATCCTACAGGCACTTGTAGAATTTTTCTCATAACCCACCCCTTCCTTCAAAGGCATCAGCATCTCTGTTTTAGAGATGAGGAAATAAGCCGAGTTACCATTTATTGAATGCTTATACACTGTGCACTTTTATGTGCCTGGCATATATTTCCCAGAGATGTTAGGTAATTTGCCCAAGACATAAAACTGATCAGAATAGGAATCAGAATCCTATTCGGTTCTTTTTTGTTCTTTCTTCTTAACTCCAAATCCTTGCCCACTGGCTTATATTATCATTCAGAAGATCAAAGAAGTTGCTCAAGATCCCAGAGCAACATGGAACTTGGGTCCACAGGCCTTCTCTTCCATTGCCACATTGCCACTGCTGCTGTCCAGGATCTGATTTCACTGCCCTGAGTCTCATTTCCTTATCTGATATTGGAGGATAAAGCCACCACCTGGCACCCAAGATTGTAACAGGGATCAGATTAGACGTAGCAAAGGAAGATGCTCTTGGGAATCTGTAAGGTACTGAATTGGGCAGGCATTGTTTGGAGTTCCTCTGTGAAGTGGGTACCCCAGATAAAACAGTCTGACCTGAGTTCAGCTCTTGTCCCTGCCACACATTTGCTGTGTGTCTCTAGACAAGTGGCTTGGCTTCTCTGGACCTCTGAAAAAAAAAAAAAAAAGAGGTAGCCTAGGCTAAAGATTAAAAACTCAAGTTTTTGAGGCCAAGCAGATAATGTGGATTTGCAAAAGGAATAACAGAGAGGAAGAGCAGGCTAGGATAAATGGGAGTAAGCGTGTGCRCCTATAGTATATTAAAGTTTTGGGGATTTTGTTTGTTTGTTTGTTTTGAGGCACAGGGATCAAGCCTCTCACATTCTAAAGTTATTTTCATGAAATTCTGTTATCCAAATAAAACCATGTGTAGGCTGAAATGGCCCTCAAGCCACCAGTTTGCTTGAGGACTATGAAATCTTTTAAATATTTCCATGTCTTCTCTGTTGAGACTGTCAGTGCTTTAAAAGTACCCATGATTCAGAGTTCTGTCTACTCCTTATTAGTGAGGAACAGCTCTGTGTCTGCGGGCAGGTAGCTTGGCTTCTTTGGGACAGTTTCCTCATATGTAAAATGGGGCCAATCAGATCCATTCCCCAGCCCTGTGTCTATGGTAAAGCTCTTGCTTCCCTTGCTTCCCGCCTCCTTTTTCAGGAGCAAGCCTTTGAGAGCAGCCAGAAGTACAAAGAGGGGAAGTACATCATTGAACTCAACCACATGATCAAAGACAACGGCTGGGACTGACCCCCGCTCCTGACGCATGTGGCTCCAGCCTGGCCTGGCCGCCAGGGGGCGCCACTGGCTTCCCTCCACCTGAAGGGAGCTCTGGACCTTCAGGGCCCCGCAGAGGAAGAATCCAGCTCCTGTACATATATTTTATTGCATGCACTGTGACCTTGGGGGGAGATCAGAAGGGGGGACGACACCCCCGCATTTCCCTGCGATCTGGCTGGCTTGGATCTCGTTTTTAACCCCTTCCAGTCCCGCCTGCCCCATAGATATGGCCTGTGTGCTGCTCTCTTGGCCCCAGTACACCGTCTGCCCTGTGWACTTCTCCCACCGAGCCCCTCTTACCCCACGCACGTCTGTTCCCCTCGTTCTGTAGCGTTTGTATATAATAAAACAATGAAGTGGCGACAGCCCCAGGCTCACGTGGAATCCGGGAGGGGGAAACTGGAGTAAAGACTCCTGCCCCTATAGACCTGTTCCGTTCCGGACCCCCGCGGGGCATGGTTCAGGCATGGCCTTCCAAGCTGGTCTCCACTACCTGTGGGATCATTGAGCCCACACTGGCCCTAGGCCTTGACCTCGAGTGATCTACATCTTCTTGCGCTAGTGCTTGGCCGCCGCCTAGAGGCAGGTCTCCTGGGAGGATGCCAAGCTGCCCKCTTCACCGCCCCCCTCGTCCAGCCTACAACTCCCAGAGGCCCCAGCGCAGTCTACTTATCTCCTTAACGCGCGCCTTCGCACAGAGTCTGCTGGGAAGTGTAGTTCCGAGTGTGCCGAGGTTGGACCTTACGGGCAACCCTGCGCTAGAAGTCGAGACTGTAGAGCTACGTGCGTCCCTCAACTTTTGAGACTTGGTGAAGGGTAGAGGTTTTTCAGAATGGGAACCAGGAAGGAATGGGTTCAGTCCTCTGCTGCGGACTCGTCGAGGTCTCCAGTGTCCCACGTAATTATTAGCTCAGGCCGCTTCCCTCCAACCCGGCACTTTCCCTCCAATTACGCTCCTTTCCTCCAAACCCAGTTCTCCCAAGTGAGGGCGTGGAGATTACTAGCAAGAAAATCTGGGACGCCAGGGTCTGCCTCAGGACTAAGGGCTAGGTCCCAGGGTCCAAGCCCCGCCCCCCGTAGCTTGTCCCTAGCCGGGGCTCCCCCCGTGGGAACGGGGACCAGCTGTCCGGAAGCGCCAAACTGCGTCCCTGTCCGAGCCCTGGGGATCAATCAGGCCGAGGAGTTAATTATGTAATGAGGGGGCAGGGGGTCGGGGCTAATGAAGCCGCCCATGGGGGAGGGGAAGGGGAAGGTACAGGTATCCGGCCCCCTCTTGGACCCCTTCGAGGCCCCAGGGGTTTCCACTCCAGCCCACCTCCAGGGCCTCAAAGAGGGGAGGGGCTGTGATCCCKGGTCTGGAAGGGGCTGAGCTGTGAGCTATAAAGGGGGCATCTCTCAGCACCGGGGACTATAGGCAGCGTGACCTGAAGCCAGAGGGACTACAACATGTACCATCCACGAGAGTTGTACCCCTCCTTGGGGACCGGCTATCGTCTGGGGCCCCCCCAACCYGGTGGGGACTCCAGCTTCCCTCCTGCCCTGGCAGAGGGCTACCGCTACCCCGGTGAGCGGTGGGACCTGCTGCTGGTTAGGGGTTTTGGTGGCTGTGACCCTCGGCTGGTTTCTCATTCTCCCCACATCTCCAGATCTGGATACCCCTAAACTGGATTGCTTCCTGTCCGGGATTGAGGCTGGTCCCCGCACCCTAGCTGCAGCCCCACCTCTGCCCCTACTGCCCCCTACCCTGGGTACTGAGCCAGCCCCACCAGCTGCAGAAGCCCTTCACTCCCTCCCTGGGGTCAGCCTGAGCCTGGAGAACCAGGAGCTGTGGAAGGAGTTCAGCGCTGTGGGGACAGAGATGATCATCACCAAAGCCGGCAGGTGAGGGCTGGCCAGATCAATTTCTTCTGGGGTCTCTTGGGAAAGATAGATCCTGGACACCAGACTGGGTTTGGGAGTTTCTTCAGGGCTGGAGTTCAGCTCAAGTTCAGAATTTGACTATGGCCTGGGACATGAGTGAATGTGGATGGAATCAGGACTATGGCAAGTGTCAAGGGTCAATTTTGGAGTCTGTGGTTGGGTTTGGGGGCCAATCTATTAAGGGTCACAGATCAGTCTGAACCAAGGTCAGGAAGTCTGACTGGTTTATAGGTTAGTGTGTGGCCTAGATCAGGAGTGGGTCTGTGGCTGGAATCAGGATTTAGACTATGTCTGGGATCTATCAAGCTGGTGGCCAGTCTCAGGGAAACCTGGATCAGCTCCATGTTTAATTTGAATAGGAATCAATATGTGACTAGGTAAGGGCTGACCTTTGAGGCTCAAGTGATCAGTGTGTGGCCTGTGACAAGATCTTTATCTGGACAGGAGCTCAGGCCCTAGCATGGTAAATCCTCTCCTCTCTGAAGGTAGGGTCTTATTTTTTCTGAAGCAAATTAACAGCTGTAGGGACTGGTGATAGAGATCAGATAAGGAAACCAAGGTGGGGAGCATGAGACTCCTGGCAATATTGCAGGGAGAAAAGTTAGCCACAACTCCTTCAGCAAGTAGGCTCTGCTTCTAAACTGCTTTGTGATCTGGTCAGATTACCTATTTCTCCATYTGTAAAATGGAGTCAGTCTTCCAACTCTGTGATTCTGCCTTTGGGTTCTAATTCCACCTCCCTTGATGTTTCTCTGCCAGAACTGACTACCTGATGTTCCCTTACTGGTGGTAGGCCGGCCTCTGGCCAGTAGGCAGCTCCCGGCCTCTCCCTTCTCTTGCCTTGTGCAGGCGCATGTTTCCTGCTTGCCGAGTGTCAGTCACTGGCCTGGACCCTGAGGCCCGCTACCTGTTTCTTCTGGATGTGGTTCCAGTGGATGGGGCTCGCTACCGCTGGCAGGGCCGGCGCTGGGAGCCCAGCGGCAAGGCAGAGCCCCGCCTGCCTGATCGTGTCTATATTCACCCTGATTCTCCTGCCACTGGTGCCCACTGGATGCGGCAGCCTGTGTCCTTCCATCGTGTCAAGCTCACCAATAGCACATTGGACCCCCATGGCCACGTGAGGCCCAAGCTGGAACTCCAGGATAGGGGTTAGGGGTGGTGCTAGGTAGAGGCTAAGGCTGGGTCCCCAGACAAGGAATCACTCCCATTTCTTCCCTTCCAGCTGATCTTGCACTCCATGCACAAGTATCAGCCCCGCATACACCTTGTGCGGGCCGCCCAGCTTTGCAGCCAGCACTGGGGGGGTGTGGCCTCTTTTCGCTTCCCTGAGACCACGTTCATCTCTGTGACAGCCTACCAGAACCCACGGGTGAGTGACTCTGCTTGAGGGGGTAATCGCACCCTGCCCAGGCTGCAGGAGCTTTGACCTGGATTTGTGCCCCCAGATCACACAACTCAAGATTGCAGCCAATCCCTTTGCCAAAGGCTTCCGAGAGAATGGCAGAAACTGCAAGAGGTGAGCATTGTCCATTCGCCGATCCGTTCAACGATATTTATTAACTGCTCACTAATGTGCCCAGCATTGTGTCAGATGTCAGGAATGCAATGGTAAATAAAAACATTTATTCACTCATTGAGTCAACGAATATGCTTATTTAGCACCTGCCAGCCACTGTTCTAGGCATGGGGGACACATAAGTAAACAAAGCAAATCAAAGCCCGTGTCCTCATGATGCTGATAATGCTAATGGGTAAGTAAACAAAATAAATAAATAAAATATAAGTTAGCATTACGTTCTAAAGAGAAATAAATCAGGGAAGGGATAGGAAGGCTGGGGTGAGGAGGTGGATAAATGGCCTAGGAAGGCCTCCCCAAGGAAAGAACATTTAAGAAAAGACCTGAAGGAAGTAGAGGAAGCTGTGTGGTAAGTGGGAAAAAGCATGCTTGGGAGTGGGAGCTGTGTGTGCAAGGGTCCTGAGGCAGGACATACCTACCATGTGAGTGGAGTGGAGTCGGTGAGAAGGCAAGTCAGGGAGGTGATGGGAAGCTAGGTTAGGCTCCATAGCAAGGACTTGGGAATCTGAGTACAGCCCCCTCCAGGTGGACCCCTACCCTCAAGGAGCTTACCCTCTGTCAGAAGAGATAGACATGACCCACAGGATCATTCCATCAAATGTAAAAGTGTGACTGTGATAAACAGCATGAGGAAGGGTCTGTGGTACTGTGGGAGGACAGGGAGGTCTTTCTTGAGGAAGTTTTGCTTGACCTAAGACAAAAGGGATGAGTTCAGTAGGCGAAGAGGGGGTAGGAGATGGCAGCTGATGGAGATTGGGGCAGAGGGRAATGGGCTGGGGTCAGGCCATGTCTTAGATTTGCAGCTTGGGAGAGTTTCCACTGATTCTAAAAACAGCAGGGCTCTGAAAGTTCAAGTGGGGAATAAGTCCCAGTTCTGCTTTCTAATCCCTTAATTCTCTGGCCTTTAGTTTCTTCATCTGTAAAATGGGTATAATAATGGCACCTGCCTGATAGGGTCCCTGGGAGGGTGAAATGCCTGGCACCTGGTAAGTACTAATAGTGCCATCATCATCATTACTATCATCATCATTATCATCATCATCATCATCACCACTGTTCCTCAGGGAGCGGGATGCCCGTGTGAAGAGGAAACTTCGAGGCCCAGAGCCAGTAGCCACAGAGGCCTATGGGAGTGGAGGTGAGTTGTCCTAATAGTGATGGGGCCAGGCCTACAACACTGATCCTCCCTGGCTCAACCTGCCCCTTCTGTCTCCCCAGATACMCCAGGGGGTCCCTGTGACTCCACCCTGGGTGGGGACGTGCGTGAGTCAGATCCAGAGCAGGCCTCAGCTCCCCAGGAAGCTGTTCCTGCCCCAGCTCCTCCATGTGGTGGCCCCAGTGCTGAGGCCTATCTCCTGCACCCTGCAGCTTTCCATGGGGCTCCCAATCACCTACCAACCAGGTGAGTGGGACAAGGACACAGGGTTGGAATGCTCCTTCCAGGTGTCCCTTCTCTCCTGTTCTGACAGCTGTCTTTCTACTTCAGGAACCCTACCTTCCCTGAGGCTCCAGACTCTGGGCGCCCAGCCCCCTACTCAGCTGCATTTTTGGAGCTGCAGCCTGGGCCCGGGGGCTCAGGGTACCCAGCAGCTCCACCMGGAGCATCCTTTGCTCCACACTTCCTTCAAGGGGGCCCCTTCCCCTTGCCATACCCAGGCCCTGGGGGATACCTGGACGTGGGTTCCAAACCAATGTACTGAGCCATCACAGGGCCCCTCTGCCTCATCTTCCATCACAATCTCCAGTTCCCTTCCCCCAGCACTGTAGCCCCCTCATTCCACTGTCCCCATCCCCCACACCAAATGGCTGCCTTGGGCCTGTCCCCCACCCCACTTCACACCTTGATTTCACTCCCACCCCCTCTGGCTTCAAAGCCCAAGCCAGGCTGCTGGGAGTCCAGCTGGGGCCAGCTTCCCCTTCCCGGCTCTCACCTCCGTGTGAATGGAAGGAGGCTCTGCCTGGCCAAATGGGGACAGCCCAGCATCTCCACCTCCTGTGGCCCCACTTGCCACCACTGCAAGCCACACCAGTCTGTTCTCAGGACCAGAGTATTTTTGTTAATAAAACTCAAAAAGACATCAGTGCTCAGGAAACATTGGGCTTGTGGTGTTGGCCCTGGGCAGCGCTGGGCCAGTGAAGGCTTTGTGGGGTAACCCAGGCAGATCCAGAACTGCCTGTTTCCAGCTCTATGACCTTGTGCTCACGAATCAACCTGCTCTGGGCCACTTTCCTCTTTAGGAAAATGGAGGAAATCTGAATTTCCAAACACTAGCTGTTTTGAGAATTAAACAAGGCTGCTCCTTTACCCGGCATGTAGGAGGCCTCTGGGAGTGGTCACTGGAGGCTCTGGGCAAGTGGACTGATCGGAGAGCTGCCTTCCTGGCAGGATTAGGGCCAAGGAGCGAAGGTCCTGATGCCCACCCAGGTCCCAGGCCATCATCTCTGCTCACCCCCAATCAAAACTGACATAAACCCAACAACCATTTTTTTTCTTTTATTAGAATTTTTTTCTTTTTTTCTCAAAACTTTTATCTAAAAACAAACAAACAAAAAAAAGGAAAAAAGAAAAACAAAAAATTACTGGAAACTTCATGGTTCAAGTGGGGAGAAAGGAGAGGAGGAGCATGGAGCTAAGGCTCCAAACCTCTCCAGAGAAAGTCCTCACCCTTGAAACGCCCTCTTGGGGGAAGAGCAGAGCTGGGGACAGCCCCTCCTTGCCCAGCCTCCGACTGGGGAGAGGGCAGAGTCACAGTGGTCCAAGGGCCAGAAAGGCTGGAGGGGGCAGGGCCGAAGGGTCACAGGAAGTAGTCGGCCACCGGCTTCTTGGAGGGGATGCCCCGTGTCTCCTGGGGAGCAGCCTCAAAGATGATAAAATCTTTCTGGAGATGCTCATCCAGCTCCAGGATGGCTGCCACATTGCCACAGCTGGAAATAGGGGGCAGCAGAGTTAGGAACGGGTCAGCCTAGGTTCCCCATCACCACCCGACCTCCCGGTCCCACCAGCTCACCGGTAGCAGTAGTTGGGTGCTGACCACACAGTGAGCACGGTCTCATTGAAGTGCCACTTGTAACCTTCCATCACTAGTTGGTGGGCACGGCAGATCATATCAATGTCATTGGCTGCGTTGAACTGGGCCACCACGTCACTGCCAAACAGGTAGCCGGCTCCACGGGGGCTCACACCCCAGCCTGTTGTATCTGAGGCAAATAAGGTAGAGATGGGGAGAGGAGGTCCTCAAGGCTTCTCTGGTTGCCCACTGCCCCTTAAAGGTGAATATCCTGTCACCTTCCTCCAATCAACCAGAGTCCCGGGCAGCAAGATTCCCCTGGAATATATATGTTCCAGGGGATTCTGAGGGAGAGGACTGCAAATGTTGGAGCGGATGAGCTGGAGAAAGAATGCTGGGGTCTGGTTCCACCTCCTAATCACAGTGACCATTCAATGGACTGTCCAAACAGGTATGCAAGCAAGTGAGAGGAGGTGCTCGTGAGAGCCACCAGCAATATCAGCGCGAATAAGCACTGTCGTGGCCCAGGAGGAGTRAAAGGTCGGTCACCCTAGACCTGGCAGGGCAGTCTGAGTGGCAGTGACAAAGGGGAGGCTGGGCCCTCGGCTGGTACTCAAGAGTCCTGACTGTAACTCTCAGCTCTACTCCACAGYAGCAGGGACTCCCACAACACGAGGGGTCCTTGGGGAGCTTTCATTCCGAGGTCTGACCTACGAAGAAGCTGCTGTCAGGTCCTGAAGCCCCTTGCCATGCAGGGAGCCAGTGATTTTGTCCTAAACAGCCTTCTGACCATGACCCCCTCTCTGGGATCCAGCATACCCCCCTTGCTCCCCATGGAGGGTCCAGCCAGCCCACAGGTGGAGGACAGAAGGCAGTGTGGACCAGCCCTGCCCTGCTCCTCCCTAGACCCTTCCCGTCTAGCCTGTCCCGTCAAGGTCCTTGCTTTAACCAGTCTCAACTAATGAAGGTACCGCCAGACTAGCCCTGCCCCACCTGCCCACCCCTCACCTTCAGGGTCAGACCAGAGGAGGTCACACATGGGTCCATCATGTGGCACTTCCTGCTTTCGATCAATTGTCCGGATCTGGTCCAGAGTCTGGATGGAGGGGGAGAGGCCCCCGTGCACACAGAAGATCTAGAGGGGAGAKCGAGACCAGGAGGAAGAAGGCACAGGTCCAGAGTCTCCCCTATCACTCCCGCCCCAAGGAGTCTCGTGGCCAGCCTACCTTGCCATCGATGATGGCTGACAGGCTGAGGTAGTCAAAGATCTCAGTGCAGTAGCGCCACACAGTCACCGAACCATATTTGCGTAGGCACTCATCATAGAAGCCATAGACCTGTGTGATCTGCCGGCTCTCATGGTTGCCCCGGATCAGGGTGATGCGGTCAGGATAGCGAACCTAGGGGTGGCCACCAAACCAGGGCTGGGATCCAAGCTCTGTTTCTCCACACGTCTGACAGCCTCACTCTGTGTTCATAACCTTTGTCCTGGACTAGACTCATGTCATTTCTTGCATAAATCATACAGTGTCATCTGCCTCACAGGTCCCTAGCTCCTCTTTCAGAGGAAGTAAACAGACCCCTCCCCACTTCAGCTACAAACCCAATGGCTACTCTTCTACCTGCCAGACCCGGGTCCTCCGTGATGCTCAAGGCTCTCTGGCCCCTCCATCTCTTTCCACCAATGGACACTATATCCAGCCATCCTCAGTGACTGCCACCTTCTCAACAAAGCCAGCCTCTCTTTCTCCCAGAGTGCTGCCCCATTAGCCTCACTGTCCAAGGCTGGGTCAGATGGCCCTGAGTCAAGGCAACAGCCCACCAAACAGAATCAGTCCAGAGCCAGCAGCACAGCTCCAAAGTGGAAAAATGGAAGGGAAAAATGATGGTGGCCAGGATACAGAAAGGCTGGCCTGAGATGGCCCAGGCATGGGCTCTAGAAGCCAGGGGCTCCCACCTTAAGTGCCAGGAGTAGAAGGAAGGTTTCAACACTGTAGAAGCCACGGTCCACAAAGTCCCCCATAAAGAGGTAGTTGGTCTCAGGGACATCGCCACCCACCTGTGGGGAGGAAGAAGGTTCTGCTTGGTCTTTTGGACCATTGCAGCGGCCCATGTTCCTATCCAGCTGAGGCCCTTCTTTCACAAAAGGTCCATCCAACTAGAAGCTTCCTGCTCCCCTTCATGCCACCAAAGGAAGGACTTCCCTGTCAATAAGTGGAGCCTCCAGTCACTCCCAGCTYACAAGCCCCAGTTTCCCCTACACTCACTCTGAATAGCTCCTTGAGGTCATAGAATTGTCCATGGATGTCGCCGCACACCTGAAAAGTATGAAGGTGGGTTGGCACTCACTTAGTGGTCAGAGGGATAGCCCCTCTGTTCCCAAAACATTTCATGCTTTCAAGAGACTCATGGCTCTTGAGGCTGCCACAACTCCAGGCTGGACATCTACTATTTGCCCAGAGTCAGCCTGCTGTAGTGTCACCCGCCATCCCACCCTGAGTGCCAACTGCCCCACTGGCAGGAGCCAGAACTGTTTTTTTTTKKTTTTTTKKTTTTTTTTTTTCCCAATGCTACTGACTGCTCCTGGAGGACTTGGCCCCTCCCTCCCTCCAAGTACTCAGAATAAGACTACAGATGCAGAGCCACAGAAATGTGACCACAGTCACTCACCAAACTGGACTCCCTCTGCCCTAGCCAAGAGCATCCCCAACAAATCAAAATTCCCAAAACATGCATTTCTTAGAGTGGGGCACCCATGAAGAAAGGAGAGGAGACAGACACCGGGCTCCCTGGGACCCCAGAAATGAGGGGTGGACTTAAGGTCTTGTTTCAAAAGATCAAGCCAGGGCTTCAGGGACAGAGTATACTCACGGTGACTGGGGAGTCCACCCTCTGCACATTGCTCTCCTCTACCAAGATCTCTCTGGAGACAGGAGAAGACCAGGGTCACCACAGCCAGGACAGCCCAGCCCAATTCCTGACCTTTTTTTGGGGGGGAGGGGAGGACATGAGGTGGTCCTTGAACCGCCAGGGGGCAGGAGTGAAGTGTTCCAATTTCCCCAGGATCAGCTGACCATGGCCCTCCACTGTTCAACCCCTTCCAAAGCTCCCAGCTGCCAACAGGACAAAGTCCCAGCTCTCATCCCAGCATCCAAGCCCTTCCATGCAGACGGTGACTTCCAGCCTTGACTCCCCTGCTACTCCCTCTCAGGTATCCAGTACTTACTCCTRGGAGACAGAGCCCCTTGTTCCCTTAGAGCTCTCCCTAACTGTCCCATAACTGAARTCTGATATCAGTCTACCAGTCCCAAGACCCTTCTCCCAGACTGTCCAAAGACAAGGGTGGCATCCCCGGCAGGTCAACCATCAGATGCACCTTCAAAGGGAAGATGCACTGTTCCTACATTTTCAACATTTATTTCAATGTTGTCCATGGATGTCCCCGCACACCTGAGAAGGTGTGGACTTTATTTCTGGAAATGCAGTCTACTTCCACTTGAGTGAGGATGACATAAATCACTTTGGCAGTTATAGGTGCCAAGCTTAAGTAGCACCTATATTTCCAAATTTTGCTCCTGATAAGAATAGCATTGAACACTGGGGCTCACACCACGGGCCACAACTGTTTATAAGGAGCTATGCACAGATGCCCCCCATCAGTCACCCTCAAAGGCCAAGACAGATGTTTCACAGAGAGGATGTAAAAGCTGAAACATGGGAGGCTGCTGGGTGGGTGGCAGAAGCAAAGGTGGGATTTGAACCAGAGAAGCCTGGCTCCAGACCTTTTTTTTTTTTTTTTTTTTTTGTGGGAAGGGTTAAAGGAGGGGGCCTGACTCTTTTTATGGAGCTATTCTGATGGGGGGTGGCCCCAGGCTGCTCCTCCTCCACCCCACTGTTTCTGCTAGTCTCTTCCCACTAAGGGAGTTCCCCAGGTACAGGGAATGGGAGGATTCACATCTGTCCCTCAGGGGACTCTCTGAGCACAAGGCAGGTATGCCTTAGCTTTCTCGAACAGGAGGCCGCACTGACGGTGGTCCAGGAGGCCAGAAGAGCAACTGGGCTCTCCCACCTGTACTGAATCTTGG